CTATATGCTTTTAATTATTTATGGAAATCAGATAATCTTCCATTTGGGGCTATTACAAATTATGCTATTGTGGTTTTATGAATGTACATATGTCTTTTGGTACACATATGCACACGCTTCTGTTGAGTATATATTTGGGTGTAGGATCGCTAGGTCACAGACTAGAAATCTATTCACCTTTAGTGAGTGAATCCAGTTGTCAACGTGGTTTTGCATGGTTGAACAAATTGACACTTGTGTCAGCTGAGTGAAAAGAGGACACCTTGGTATTTGCATATTTTGTTTTAGACATTATAAGGAGTATATTTTAATATATGTTTTCTGAAATACTAATATTTTATATGGGCTCATTTGAGTTTTATCCATATTAATGGAACTATTTGCTTTCTAATTGATCTGTCAGATAAATTCACTGCAGATGTCTTCCCATTATGTGGCTTGCCTTTTCCCCTTTCTGTGACACATTTTAATAAATGTCTGCTTTTTTAATTTTCATGGAATCCAATTTATCAATCTTTTACTTTGCGGGTAGTGATTTTGATGTCTTGTTTTAAAATACTTGGTTAATCCAAAGTCGTCATACTTGTCTCTCAGTATTCTCTTAGAAGCTGGATTGTTTTTCCCTTCAGTTCATGATCCATTTGGGACTGTTTTGTTGTTCCTGATGCCGCTGGCTCTGGTGTGAGGTAGAGATTCCCTACTGTCTGCTGTTTTAAAGACTTTTATGTCTATCTTTATGACCTGAGTTAGCCTCTAATTTTATTTTGTTCTTGTACTGTATTTTTATAGAAAAGTTATGCTGTCTTATAAAAGGGGTTGCCTAGTATTTCTTCTCTTTCTATTATTTATGGAAATTGGGAAACAACCTCTTTCTAATTGGGAAAAAACCTCTTAAACACTTGCAGAGTTTTATATATTTGCTATTATTTGCTCCTTAATGTTAGAATAATTTACTGGTGAAATCCATGTGAATCTGAAGTTTTCTTTGTGGGTAGTTCATTGTGGATTCAATTTATTTAATGGATAAAAGCATATTCCAACCTTGTGTTTCTGTTTCTGTGTTGGTAAGTTGTGGCTTTTCTAGGCATTTATCCGTTATTTTCAAATTTATAGGTATCAAGTTATTCATATTTTTACTATCTTTTTACCGTCTATAGAATCTGTAGTGTTAATCTCCTTTAGTTTCTGCCTTCTTTTTTCTTGCTAAGAAAATCCTGTCCGTCTTTTCAGAGTCATCTCAATGTGACTTTGATGGGGGGCGTTGTTTGGTTGATTTGGCTTGGTGTTTGTTTTTTGAGATGGCTTCCCACTGTGTTGCCTACCCTGGTGTCAAACTCTTGGGCTCAGTTTACCCTCCTTCTTCAGTCTCCTGAGTAGCTGGGAGTACGGGCATGTCCCGCCACACCTGGAACCTTTGTTGTTGCTTTCTTTTCTAAATTGTATTGTTTCCTTCCTTCTACATCCTGAGTATGTTTGTGCTTCTTTTTTTTTTTTTTTTGTTTTTCTCCGGTACCGGGAACCGAACTCACGACCTTGCGCTTGCCAGGCAGGCGTTTTTGCCGCTGAGCTAAATCCCCAGCCCCTTGTGCTTCTTTTTATAGTTTCTTGGTGGAGTTGATAGTCAACCTTTCTTTTCAAATCTGAGCCATTTAATGCTGTGATTTTCTCTTTAAGCATGCAGTAACTCCATCCCACAATTTTGACACATTGTGTTGTCATCATTCAGTTTGAAATATTTTCTAGTCCCATAGATTTTTTTCTTTCTCCAGAAACAAGGTATTTTTTATCATGCATAAGTATATGCTATGCTTATATATTCATGTACAATATTATATATGCATATTTTAAATTTCTAGTATCTTACTGTCCTAGTTCTCATTTTCTAGTGGTGGCTATTCCTGTTTTAAGGATGTATTAGCCTCTCAAATCTTTCATGATAGGACAGTGGTGTTTGAAGTTTTTAAAGTGGTTTTCTGAATAACTCTTCTCAGAGATGTGAGCAGAGAACAGGGAATTGTTCAGCTTGTGTTAATTGGTGACTTTCATGTTGTTGGTTTCCTCCAGTTGCCAGATAATATTTGTTTGTGTGCTCACATTTTAAAATCCAGGTGCAGCTTGATAATTATTGGTAGCTGATGGAAGTTTCCTTAAGTGCTGTTCAGGGTTTCCGTTTGGGCAGAGCCAGCCTCCGCAGGTAGCAGTTGAGTACAGGGCTCTGCAAGTGAACTTCACCCAGCTATGCTGAGGGGCAGAAGCGATGCCTGTAAAAAGGCTTCCTTTCAGGGTACAGCAAGAAACAAGCTGAGAAACTGGAGGCTCTCTCCACTGTAGATACGGGGAACGTATTGCCTGAGAGATAGTGCGAATGTAGAGATTTTTTGCTTTTCTTAGCTACTTTCCTTTTTCCCCTCTCTGTGTCCAGTTGGACTCCCAGGGTTCGTGAAGCAATGCTGCCTTTCCTCTCTGACTCCGAGGAGTTCTGCTCATGTTACACAGAGGTGCTTGCTAACACTTGTGCCAGTGGGAAATGCTGCAGGTGGTAGCTCCCTGTAGAGAGAAGCATAAGCGCTCGTATCTGATGGTCCTTAGACTGCGCTACCATGCCCCGTGGTCTGTTCCCACGCCCACACCCAGCTCTTCCTGCCTGGAGTTCAGAGTGTGCCTCTGACCTCTGATTGGGAAAAAACCTCTTAAACACTTTAGTAGTCCTTCCTGTTTCCTATGTTCATTTATAAGTTCTTACTTTGGCTTCTCCATCCATATAGTATCAAAAATTTCCTCAGCAGCATAACACCAAGATATATTAGTTTGTTGGGCAGGGTAGAGTGGTAGAGTACTTGCCTAGCATGCATGAGGTTTGATCCCCAGCATCACGGGGAAAAAAATCCTTGAAAGAAGTTAAGTATAGATAATTTAATTTTAAAACATAGTCATGAAGGAACTTTGTATTCAATCATTTTCACACAACTTCTTTCCCATTAAATAAGCGTATAAACATTTGTGTTTCACAGGGGACTAGAATTTTTACTTTTCAGTGTACTATCTGTCTTATGATAAAAATGAAGGAAAATGAAATTATTTAAGGTTATTTAATTTTTTAATGGTATAATTAAACTCATCCTGTTTAAAACTATCACAGTCATCAGATCACTTAGCTGTCTTTTTTGGGGGTGGAGGGGGTTGGTTTTTTTCCGGTACTGGAAATCGAACTCTTGACCTGGCGCTTGCCAGGCAGGTGCTGTGCCGCTGAGCTAAATCCCCAGCCCCCACTTAGCTGTCTTTACTAAAGGTTAGTCCAAGTAAATTTGGGGGACCGGGATATTTTTTAAGCACAGTTCTTCATAATAGTAAATTGTGTTCTTTTCTGAGAATTTTATCCCTCGTATCCGATTCCTTTGCTGTAGTGGCCAGACCATGGACAAAGCAAGGCCTAAATCCTGGCTTTCCTGTTCCATGACTTCAGGCAGGTGCCTGGCACAATGACCTAGTATCTTGGTATTTATTGAATGAATGTATGAAGTTACTTAAATTTATGAGGCTCAGTTTCCTTATCTGTAAAACAGGTATAAAAATGTGCTTGTCTACAGATTACAGATAATTTATGTGGCATCTCACGGAATGTAGTAGGCATTCAATTAGAACTAGGTATAATAATAGCAAATTTAACACAGAATCCTTTCATTAATATCAAGTCTTACAAATAGAAGTTAGGTTTAAACACTCGCTCTCTGAATTCTTTGTTACACTCTTGTAGGTAGGATCAAGATTGCTGGTATCAAGCCAATCTTTCAAACCAGTTGACACTCCTAAGGAATAATAAGGCAAATGTAAGACACAACACAAAGGGGACAGTGCAGGAGTTGGATTTGTATGTGGAAAAGTTGTAACGACAGTATGTTTATTGGCACCAAGACCGTAAGGAACGTTACCCATCGAATGTGTGGGGAAGGTGTGGTGTGCGTGTCTTGGGTGCTGGTGGATGCTGGGTCACCAGGAGATGGTGGTTTGGTGCAGAAGAGTCCTTACTGGGAGCAGGGAAAGGCGAAGTGGCTTAGATACGGTGCGGACAGCTGGAGGTCACCTTGGAAATTATACTAACTTCCTTTTGGGTGCTCTCAGAGACTGAGCGCATTCCCATACTGCCTTGTAACAACGTTCCAGAAAGGGTCAGAAGTATTAGATGAGGCACAGGTTGGCAGTGTTTGTAGTTTGAGGTGATTTACATTCTGCACAGGGTAAGCCTGGTTTTAGCAAATCACCGAGTATCAGGACAGGCCAGCTAATGATTATGGACCTGGTTTTCTTTTTGGCAACTTAATTTCCTCTTTTGAGGGAAAGTGAGCCCCTCTGGAGTATTCCTCCTTCTTTCCCTTCATAGCTCTCTCGCTTGACCCTCCAGTGTGATTTGAAGCCAGCTGACAGCTTGTAGAAGTAGTGCTTAAACATTTCTCTTTATTAATACGTGAAAAAGAATTTTTAAAATATGCTAAGACCGTTTAATACGACTGCCCACGATGGTGCACAGGTCGTTTGAGACTGTATCGGAGCTCTTGTGTGCTAAGGATAGGAAGCCTTCCTTCCTCCTCCTCCTCTCCTTCCTCACTTCTCTTTTGTTTTGTTGATAATAGAAGTGCAGGGTTTTTTTAGTGAAACATTTAAACAGAATACTTTTTGTTTTTCAGCATTCATTTTCCTACTGTTGAAACGCCTAATACTGAGACCCTGGATTAGTACAGGGTCTCAAAAAGACAAAAAAAAGATGAACCGTGTGCATTAGTACGCAAATTCATATATAACACAGCAGATGAGATTAGGTGCAAGGTTACTATACTGATTCCGTTGTCGCCTTTATGTGTCCTAATATATGTTTACTTGATAAATTTCACTTTGCAAAGTGTTATCTTTTAGGAGTTCTCTGTTGTTTACGTGATCCCCAGATGTAATTCTCTAAAGAAGGGAATGGCAAATTATTTTAATGCTTTTATTGTTTTTGTTTCTAGCTTACTCTACTAAGCTCAACAAATTTCCTGTATTTAATATTAATGATGACTTGAGTGATCTGTGTACCAGTGCAGTAAGCCCAAATACTACTAAAGCCACGCGGTACGCCCTGAATGTGTGGCGGTATTGGTGCATGACCAACGGGCTCAAGGATCACACGGACATCACCAAGGTAAGGGGCTCTCTCTCGGGCTTACTACTTCTTCTGGCCAACCTCACTGAGCTTCCAAGTGCCAGGCACTGTACTGGGTATTGCAGGGAACAGAACAGTTGCTTTCTGCCTGGGGAAACTTTGAAAGAATATAATATAGGAAGAAAAACGCCCATGGTCCAAAGCAGAATTTAATAAGTATTTTATGATTCTACAAATCAGAAATTGCTGGAAAATCCAGATGGATAAATTGATTTTGGATTGATAAGACTGGGGAGGGAATTGACATTTAAGCTTATTTTGAGAGAAAAATAGGATTTCAGTAGAATTAGAGGAGGACAGGAGTTTTCAAGGCTGAATGATGTGAAGTTGAGTAAACTTGGGGAGGACAGAAATGCTTATTAAAACAAAGCTTTCGTGTATACATATGGTAGAGTTTAGACTAGATTTTGACTTGTTTTTGGCAAGGAGAGACTATTTGAAAGATTTATTGTAGGATCTGATTATAAGAGCTGCAAGTATCTTAGGGTTAGGCAAAAAAAGAAACCATTAAGTTTTTTTGAGCAGAAAGGAACATAATGGCAGTGATATTTTCAGAAAAATTAATTGGAAGTGATGAGCAAAAAGTTATTTAATGTCCTTGGTCCTCCACTCCCCTTTTTAAAATGAACTTTCAAGATCTCTTCCAGTCTGAAGTATCTGAGGTTTGTGAATGACAGAAAAAGAACGTTGCTTATGTGGAGGAAGAACAGACATAACTGTACTTTGATTGGGCCATATTTGGTCCTAAGTCGGATGAGCAGAGGGACAGGTTGCAACTGTGAGATGGAAGGCAAGTGTAGAAGTGGATTTCAGGGTCTTCCAAATAGAGCTCACAGTTGAAGCCCAAGGGAAGGTTGGGAGCGAACAAGTTGAAATAGGAAGCCCAGGTTCTACTTCTGGCATCGAGGTGCACTAGACAATGTGAGGGGCCTTTCTGTTTCATCTGCAGAAAGGGCAGCATCCTCAGGGGAGGGAGTCATGGGACAGGAAAAGGGGAAGGAGAGGGAGAGAGAGAGAACGGGGCTGGAGTCTTGAGCAGTCAGCACAGAAGGAAACGGCTAACTGAAATACTGTTATTAAGTAAAGGCAGAGACAGGAAGAGGAGCTGAAGAATCTGATTAAGGAGAGGGCCCTGAAAGGCTCCTAGAGAGCGCTAGGTCCATTGCTGTGCCTGCTGGCTTGCTGCTGCCTGGCTTCTCTGTGCCAGCCTCTTCCGAAACGTAGGTACTCAGGTCCCTCGCAGAAGAAAATACATGCTTTTATTCTCCGGTACCGGGAACCGAACTCACGACCTTGCGCTTGCCAGGCAGGCGCTTTTGCCGCTGAGCTAAATCCCCAGCCCCGAAAATACATGCTTTTAAAAAGCAGCAGTCATTCAGGAAATAAACCACTGTGAATGATGATGTATGAACACAAGAAACAACAGGTTTATACACCAAGAACTCTGGGGAGTTAAATTATAGACTGAATTTTTATGAAGTATTTTGAAATTTATATATGAAATTTTATGGAAACAAAAAGCATAAAAATAACAACATATCCATCAAAATAGTCCAGCAGGTTTGAAAATAAGTTGAAACAAAAGATATAAAACAGTGTTTTGGAAGGCACTTGATAGAAGGCGAAGAAGAACAGTGCTCCGTGAGGGACAGGAAAGAAGCAAGGTGACACCTCTGCTTATCCCAGGTCTGTGGGCCCTGGAGAAAGAATTCAAACAGTGCCTAGCAGACTTGCTTAGTTAAGGAAATGAAGCTGAGTCCAGAAGGACAAAGGTAGTTAGAGTTGTCATGACAGGGTATGCAAAAGTAGAGCACAGAGAGAGCCTAAGGGATCTAAAGATGCACTCCTCAGATATTCAGCTGAGTACTGTCGGTGTGTGCCTGTGAAGAAGCCCCTAAAGGCTGGAAAGAAAGAAAAAAAAAAACAAAAAAACAAAAAAAAACCACCTACTTGAAAGGATTTGCGGTAATTATAGGTGGCACTGACACAGAATTGGAGACCATATCACCCACCAACCAGGCTGAAAAAATCCCTCAAGTTTCAAGGGGTTAGCCAGCCAGGCACTTTGGGTGAGTAAAGCAGGAGAATCACAAGTTTCAAGGAAGCCTGGGCAATTTAGTGACTTGGTGAGTCCCGACTCAAAATAAAAAAATTAAGGGAAGGGGATGTAGCTCAGTGAGAAGACCCCGGCTTCAACCTCCAGTATTACCACCACCAAACCAAACCAAACCCTTCATGGGCTGGAGTCCTCGGGTTTCATACCATGCAGGTATGGGAAATACTTAGCTATAGACTGAGCACAGCTGTAATCCCACGCAACAGAGAAAAACAAGACCCGAAGAGCCTAATGGTTTTTAACTAACTGTATTCCAGAATAAAGCTTAGCAATAGTTACAGGAATATAGAAATATTAAAACACAAAAAATAAAATTCACAATGTGCATCATCTATAAACAAAATTTATCAGACCTTCAAAGAACAGAAACATATATTTTTAAAGAATGAATAGGGCTGGGGATTTAGCTCAGTGGCACAGTGCCTGCCTGGCAAGCACAAGGTCGTGAGTTCAATTCCCAGTACTGGAAGAAAAACCAAAAAAAATAGAAATAAAAAAAAAGAATGAATAAAAATCAACCCAGAACTGACAAGATTATAAAATTAGAAGGCAAGGATGTTAAAACAGTTATTATAACCATATTTGATAACCTCAAAAAAATAAGTAGGATTATACATTTTGTTTGAGATTCAAAATGTACTTCTAGAGACAAAACTAGTGTCTGAAAGATAAACTGCTTAGGCACATTGCACATTAGAGAAGAAAATATGTGAACTTGAATATGCACTATAATAACAGGAACTGGCCTAAGTGGCTGCCTGGCAAGCTCAAGGTCCTGAGTTCGATTCCCAGTACCCAAAAAAAAAAAAAAAAAAAAAAAAAAAAAAAAAAAAAAAAAAAATAGGAACTACAGAATAGAATACAGAAATAAAAGATAATTGTTTAAAAATGATCAAACCATTAATAAGGACTGTGGACTAATAGGTAGTAGTTGGAATCCTTAAAGCAAAGGAGAAAAGAGGGGCAAGAAGAAATATTTGAAGGATAACAGCCCTAATTGTGCCAAGTTTGATAAAAACTAAAACAGCCATAGATTCTAGAAGCTCACTGAACCCCACACAAGAAATAAAGAAAACTTTATAAAAGTACACCATAACTAAATCACTTAACCAGTTTTAAGTAGAAAACTTAAAAGCAGTTAAAAAAGAAAGACGTACTATACAGAGGAACAAAGATAAGGCCAACAATGGATTTCTCATTAGAAACAAGGCAAATGCAAAGATAATTAAGCAACTCCTTTAAATTATGAAAGAAAAATACTTTCACTATTCCTAATGCAAATGTCTTTCAAAAGTGAATATGAAAGAAAGACCTTTCAGATTTCAAAAACGAAAGAATTCATCATCAGGAGATCCATACTCTGATACATATTAAAGGAAGTTCTTTAGCCAAAAAGAAAATAGCACTCTGTGAAAATATGTCCATAACAAAGGAAACAACCTTGGAAATTATAGCTACATGACTAAGTATGTAAGTTTTTTAAACTTAACTTTCTTTGAAGATCATAGACCAAAACAACAAAGACAAAATGGAATAATAAAAATATTAAATTGATGAAGGAATAGAAAAAAGAAAGGTGTTTTTCATTAGAAACTATGCTAGACAGTGGGATAACATCTTTAAAGAGGTGAAAGAAAAAACTTCCACCTAAAACTTTATACTCAGTAAATAAAAATGAAAGTGAAATAAAGACCTGAAAAAACAAGCCTGAGAGAATTTCTCACAAAAGACCTACACAGCACTAAATGTTAAAGGAAGCTCTTTAGGCAGAAGCAAAATTATATTAGATGACATGGATTTTTCAATGAAATAAAAAGTTTTGAAATGGAATTTTTAATTTCCAAAAAGATAATTGACTGTCGAAAGCAAGCTTAATAATGTATTGCAAAGCTTTTATGTAATAAATGGAGAGAAATACAGGACAACGCAAGTAGAGAACAGATGGGAAGATGAAAGTGTGATGAAGTTCCTACAATACATAGGAAGTACTGTAGTACTTGAAGGTAGCATATGGTGTATAGTTAAGCACTGCAAATCTTTTTTTTTTTTTTTTGGCCATCTTTTTGAGGCAGGGCTTCGCTACGCAGTTCAGGCTGGCCTTGAGCTCACTTTGTAGCCCAGGCTGGTCTCTAGCTCCAAAGGATCCTCCTGTTTCAGCCCCCCGAGTGCTGGGATTACAGTCGTGCACCACCATGCCCTGTGCTAATGACTTTGTATTCTAGTCTTCAGAACCTGTTTTTACCTCATAGTGTTTGCAAAGATACCTATAATTCCCTCTACACACGCGTGTGACTTCGACACTTTTCCCACCAAGAGTGGAATCGGTTTTCTCCTAAAATCTAAGCTGTCCATGTGACTTACTTTAACCAACAGGATATAACAGAAATGACAGTCTGGATTCTAAAGCCAAACCTTGAAAGATTCTGCTTTGATCTTTAGGTTCTTACTGGTCTTTGTACATGTTTTTACCATGTGAGAAAACCCAGTTAAACCTGAGGAATATGTGGACAAGCTATCTCCCACATAAAACTCAGACGACTGTACCGTGCATGCCCCAACTGGGACCTGTAGAGGAAATACTCAACCGAGCTGGGCCTGGAATACTAACTCATCAAATCATGAGCAAAATCAAATGTCTTGGCTTGCCAGGCAAGGTAGCATACAGCTATAATCCCAGCATTCCGGGAGGCTGAAACAGGAGGATTACAAATTCAAACTCAGCCTAGGCAATTTAGCAACTTAGCAAGACTGTCTCTTAAAATGAAAAACAGAAAAGGGCTAGAGGTATAGTATTGTTGCTCAGTGTGAAGGCCCTGGGTTCAGTGCCCAGTACTTGAGGAAAGGGGTCTTGGCTTTAAGCCAC